TTTATAAATATATTATATTAAACTATATTCTTTCTGGATTAAATACAAATATTTAAATTAAGCAAACTCAAAGCCAAAAAATTTAAAAACATTTTCAAATAAACATTTCTTTAATTATAAATTAAAGTAAGGTTTTATTTTATTTATGATATCTTGGAATAGCTTTAAAATATAACTGTATAAATATTTAACTAATTATATTGTTAAAAATTAATACTTTGTACTATTTTAATTAAAATATTAATAAAAATAAAAAAGAATATATTCATGAAAAATTAATCCAGGTAAGATTATAATATATTAAGAGCTCAATAAATTTCCGCTCAAAGTATTTTAAGTTGAATCACAAAAATCTGAATTTTTCTATCTTTAGGTATATAACTGAATAATTGTGCTATAATTTAAATTTTTACTTCTCTTGTGAAAGAGCACAGTTCTTTTTCATTGGAAACAGACATAATTTTCAAGTATTAATATTAAAATAAAGAAGACTTGATAGTTATTTTGAAAAAAAAAAAAACTAAAAAGACCATAGAAAATATAATTATGATGACGATTTGTAATATTTTATTTTTGAGATATTCTATTAAATTTATTCAAAGTTTTTATATACGTATTTTATGTTTTATTTTTATTTATATGGATTTTATACTTTTGATATGATTCAACTTATTATTAATTATATTTGTTTTTCAAATTATTGTTAAAGAATAAAAATATTATAAAATAAATAAAATGCAAGTTTGATATACCTACGCAGTATTTAAATATTTACACATTATTTTATAATCTATCTTATATAATATTATATATATATATATATATATATATTAATGTTTGTTTGTGAGTCCAATATAGATTCGAAAACTACTTGACTGTTTTCAATAAAAGTTGTATTAATAAATTTTTTAAGACTCGGAGAGTCTTTATAACTTGTTTTTATTTTTTTTAACCCCTATATATTAATATAGAGTGAATCATACTTTTATTTAGTTTTTGCTCATGAAAATCAAATATTTTTTTGTTTATTTAAATTATTGCCTTAGGTTAATGATAACATTATTACGGTTGGCAAATATAAAATGTTTACAAATATAAATAATAATAATTTAAAAGATTTGTAACTATGATTTACTTTCTTATTAATTCTAGATATAATTTTGATTAAAACAAATAAAGATGAATACCAACTATAAAACTAAACGATATTGGATTTAAATAGAATTTTAAATATTCGTCGAATCTGCCTTAAGTTTTTTTTTTTTGTTATCATCAAAAATACGTTTAAGACTAAGCAGTAGAAAATCATAAAATGGACATTGTAATTTTATTATGTTTAAATAATATATTTCATCTGAAGTAAAACGGTAAACGAAAAAGGTTTGATGAATTTTAACCCAGTAAAATCGGTAGCTATCTAATTATATAAAATTATGTTTATGTATGAAATTTTAATTCGTCAAAATACACGAATATTTAATCTAAGCTAAATTCTCAAAACCAAGTAAATGATATGTTTTATTTTTGTTTTTCATTCAAGTGTTTTAGATTTAATAGTAAAACTTTGAAAACAAGTTCACACCCAGCAGCCCAGCAGAAAGTTTTTCCGGGAGATGGTTTGTGTTGTATACTCGATTGTCACACCTTCCCCTCCACTAATCCACGATTTTTCGATAGTTTCAAAAGTAATTTTGTTCAAAGAAAGATGTCATGTCTACACAGAAATGACAGCCAAATATTCAATTATACATTTAACATTCTGCTTGACCGTATCGCATACAGAAAGAATACAACATAATATATAACAGTTAACTATATAAACTTGTACATACCAACTTCGTAATCGAAATAAAATAAATGCATTTCAAACCAAATGGTCACAACTTTTCTACTTGTTTACGTGAAAGATAACAATATATTGTATATGAAATTTCGATCGTTCTGCAAATTATTATCAATAAACATACACTGATTACGTTTCTCATTTAAGTTATTTACAATACTAGTTTCATTGTATCAAAAGAAAAATATACTCAAACGAATGATGTAAGAGTGTACACTATAAGAGGATTTCATACTATTAAGGGGTGTTGAAAAACTGGACAAAAGAATAGATTCGCTAAGGGTGAAAGGGCGGTTGAGCGTAAAAGATGTTCAGCATATTATATCCTATCACCTTCGTTGTACACGTTTACATATACATTACAGCCTACGTATTTTTCAGACTAACAAGGACAATACTAAGATCTAATAACTGTACACACATTATATTTTTATTTGATAGTAAATCATGGTCCACAGTGTTCGATTTTACAGTAAAGTTTATTGTTTTGTTTTGTTTGAAAATTATTTTTTAGAATTTCAACTTTCAATTCAAAAGAGTTTTAAATATCACAAATATATGGAAATAAATTATACTAAAATACATTTTATCAACACATTTTATAAATAGGCATGTATGTTGTTTCACTTTAATTTTTAATTTTAAAGGGAAAATTACACGAACTATTATAAATTATGTTTTTTGAGAAACAAAACTATTTCAATATTTCGTCTCCATGGCTTCCTTAAAAAATATTTATCTAAAGTGTCATGAATTTAAGTTCTACGAATTAAAACAGTACCCTTTAATTGTGATTTGCTATAATTTATATTCAAAGCAATCTTAGTATTGCTTCTATTATGTGTTAAAGTAGTTTTGAATCGTTGTATCGCATTTAAATTTTAAGTTAGTAACAAAAACAAGTTATTGCAAAATTATAATTTTATCAGATAATTGCTTGTATACTTGTTTTATGAAAACGATTACATTGCACATACATTTATCGTTCTAAAATATTACGGTAACATGCGCTACATTGTACCATGTTTTACAAATGGACTTTAATCTATGTAAATGGAACGTATAACCAAAATGTTTCTGGCCGCAATGGCCATCATTCAATTCACCACAAGTATCAGGTTTCTGTAAATTCGTTGAATTATACTTTATTTATACTTCCAATTTATTGTTTTTTGCTTCATATATTCTATGCTATTTATTTTGGTAATATTTTTTTCCACCAGGAAAATAAAAAAAAACGATACCTATCATCCAGCAGATGTTGACTACACTATTACTATTGTAGTCTAAGATTTATTATAAAACACCCAAAACGTGACATGATTTACTTAGGTGTTTCTTTTGTGACATTTTCGAAAACTAAATGTCAATACTACGCTATGTACAGATATTATTTACCATTGACGTTTTCTTTATTTACGTATTTTCGGTATATTATTTTATCAAATTTAACAGTTATTTGTCAGAAAATAAATATAAATTTTGAACACAAATAATATTTTTATGAATTCTGTTACAACCATAAGTATTTTATGAAACGATTTTATTATTCAATTATTCTGAAAATTGAAAATTTATTCCTGCTTAATTTTGAGTGACTAAATCGTTGCTAAACAAGTTGAACGAAGAAGAATAATTAGGTATTATTATCAGTATACACAGATGTTATAATTATTAAAAACTGTCATTGTTAAATTTATTTTTAGATTTTGTGTTTTGACATTGTTCATTTAAGATTCTTTAAATTCAGTAAATAAGCCATTACACAAAAAAAAAAAATGTATATATATAATGAAATAATACCATTAAAAGTTAAATTATTTTATAATTCTTTATCAAAATTAGTAAGTTATTCATTAGTATAAAAATAAAATAAAAACAACATACATTTTTATTTTAAAACTTATAATAACCAGAAAGCAGTGTTATATATTTTCCATATAATTGACAAAAGTAAATTAACAAATTATGTAATTATGTAAAACACTTAAAACTTAATAAAGGTCATTATTATTTTTTTAAATGAAATATACATACAATAAAGAAATATAATTGTATAGCAAAAACCCAGAAAATAAATAATGTATTCGTCTTGTCAACCATTAACGTACACATTTTAAGTTATTCAGTATTTATTATAGTATAATTGTTGATTATGTTTTCCATAATAGAAAAAATATTACAACAATTTATTTAAAAAGAGTTGAAAGAGTTTAATTTTACTGTTTGTCGTGTATAACAAAATTGTAACAAACTTGAACACCGATTAATATTATTTGCTCGCTATTTAATACAAATTGTCCTTTATCTTGTCTTGGTGGCGTTAATAAAGCCAGTATTTCTATTTTCCTTGGTAAGTGATAAACAATAAGTATTAAAATGTTTAGATTCATTTCAATAAAAATATTACAGTTACACGGCGTAATAAGCAGGCAAATCAAGTACACTACAGTTGTGGGTATATTTTTTACTATGCACAGTACACGCTCTTATGACGTATTGTATTTACCAATGTGGTGTTTGAATCTTAACAACTAATCATTAAAAATAATCTGTACAACCCTACTTATGCGCTTAAACAACTTAGCTATAAAACAGTAATGCACATCTGAAGTTGTAGTTTAGATATAACATACTTTTTTGTATATTTTTGTTTATAATATTTTCAATAACTTAATTTTAAATTGTATCTATATTCATGTTTGTTCAATGTGTGTTAAAATGTATTTATAAACAGAATTAAAAAATAATACATTCCTATAGGCATACTTCAAAATAAGGATAAAAAAAATATATTCTTAATTATAGTTACAGTAATAAATATTGCATTATGTTTTCCACACAAAAAAAATAAAAGCTTAAGACTTTTCAATAAAACAAAATTATTCATGAGCATTATTGCATTATTAATTGATTTTAAAGTGAAAAATAATAATATTATAATGTTTAAACAAAATCTTTTAAATTCTTTCGAGTATAATAATTAAATTACTATCGTGACAGTAACTTTATATTATTCAAAAACTTTTTAAGTTTACTGACAAAAAGTGTTCATTATTTGTACGTTTTTAATTAGGTTTATTGGTTTAAAATTGTGTACATCATCATTCATTGTATTACAAATAAACAAAGCTAATAAGAAAATATTTATACTTACTGAGTATTTGCAGCGTATGTTTTAATTCTACTGGTTCGAGTGTACCGATCTGGCAAATGTAGTTCCCAGCGTCATTGATTTGAACATTTCGGATTTCCAAGTTGTATCCTTCGACGATTCGAATACGTTCTTCAGGGGTCACCTTAGTGGTACCAGCGGTTAAAATTGCTATTCCTTTTTTCCAAGCCAACACAAAGTTCTCTGAATGAAATACATGATAAATATAAGTTATTAAAAATTAGTAATCAATTATAATTAGCTTTAAGTTATGCAAATATTATGTTGTAATACTACATAATATACAATGATTAATATTCATTATGCGCATTTTACTATGATAATTGTGAATTATTTGTTTTTAGTTAACTGTAATGATGATCCATTTAGTAATTTATCATATTAATCAGTACCATGTGTTTTATTAAAAAAAAAATAAATATGGATTAAGTATAAAAATCTGGGTACATATTTAAAAAATTACATATAATAGCCAAAATTGATATATACGTGTGGATAAAATAATTATTCATTATACATGTCTGCTTTTTAGATATTATAGTCTATATGAGAGTCCTCAAAAAATATATAGTAGTGTGTATATTGTTTGTAAGTATTTCACTAAAATATCAATGGTTCTTAAGTATAAATAATAAAAATCTTGTAACTGTAATACTTGAACATGATACAAATATAATGTTATACTAAATTTTGAATTTTTGTTACACTAAATTTATAATGAATAATGATAAATATTTTGATATAAAATTCCAACCATCAAATATTTATAACTGGATCACTGCATAATTACAAATTACCCAAGGAACCATAATAGAGTACATTAACATTTCTAAACCTTATTCAATATATTCGAGTTTAAGTGAATGAAAACTCGAAATGTTCATTTCACTACTGCAAATTAATCTAACCAATCCCGAGAACGGCAAAGTTATGCAATCCATTACGACTCCATTATAATTTAACTATTTTTATTTGGATATTTTAATAATTAATAGTTAACCATTCAATTTTCATAAAAAAGTACATTTGAACTTATCTTGTTGTATATTATAAGTTTATAAAAATAATTATCTAATATAATTGATTATTCGAGATCAAACTATAGCTGAAATTAATTTCAACAAGAGTAAGTAGATATCAAAATATAATAAGCAACTATCAACTGCCATTCGCAGACTTTTATGATAGTATTCTAAAAAATAAAATTGAAAAATATTTGTCAAAGGGTTTTGGAGTTAACTGGTTGTTGTTTTTATTTAAAACGGAAATATATTAGAAGGATACCTACTAAATTAATTAAATTAGAATAAATACAGTTCTTAGAAAATAATTTTGCTAAATGGCACGTGTGTTAACATAGGATTTTAAGCCCTAAATCAATAATGTTTTATAGTACCTACAAGGCTACATAACAGTAATTCTCATGTCAACCATATTTATCGTAGGAGTTGTTAGTTGTATACAGATTTTATTGCTGTAACTAAATTTCAATAATATTCATGGTTATTTCTGAAAAAAGCAAATTGTGATACGAGATTAACTTTTGTAGTCCAGGCCTAATCTTATACAATTACAAAGATGTATAGAATGATGTTTATAAAAATTGCTCTTGTCAAGTTGATTAATTGTATTTTGTCCGATGTTTCGAAATGGAGAAACTCGCCAGTCCAGAATAATGAAGCATTCTGATGAAAACGAGAATTACAAATAAAACAATCTCTTTCATTGTACTACATGGTTTTTGAAATGAGATCAAGTCCATGTTTCAGTAGTTTCCACATACAACTAATTTTAGAGTAAAGATACAAAATTAAAACACAGCACATCAGTTAATAAACAATAAATAAAGTAATAAATTGTTTAAAAAAATTGTGTTAATTCTCTTTTAAAATTCAATTTTATAAAATAACTATTATTTTGTGTACACTTTCGAACATTATAATTATACTGTTAATATGTACATAATAAATTATTTGTTTTAATTATATAGTAACACATAAAAAAAATAACGTGTCAAGTTCACAAAAATAAAATAAAGAAAGATTTGAATATTTTTTAAATTATAAGAATTTTTTTTTTTTTATTCATGGCACAGCTTCAACAGCTAAAGTTATTAGCTTGCAATAAAAAATGAAAGTATTTGGTTAGGCACATAATATAGTAATACAATGGTTTCTTAAATTAGGTTGTACATATTAATTTGTTTTAAAAATGAGATTATTTTATTGGTGTTGTCATGGGTTGAACTGAGGGTTTTGAAGAAGTTGTCGGGCAATTCTATACTTTTTCTGGTATCTAATTTTAAGTATTACAAGGTTGATATTATTAAAATGTTCGAATTTTTTCCTACACCAAAATTTAAAGTTATAAATGTTTTAATAATTTTTTAAACAAAAACTAAAATATTGTATTTATCGGTGTTTCTGAGTAAGAATATAAATTATCACGAGTTAAAAATTTAAAACACCTTATCTATTAATACTTTCTTTAATTAGCATTTTTAAATTAAACCATGGAAATAATTATCATTAGTTATAATATATTTATTCTTTTAAAGTAAAATATCTAAAATATTGATAACAATTAAATGATAAAATATTATTATTTGTTTACAAGTGTAAGGAAACAGTTTTTTGTTCTATTTTAATTACTCATAATACATATTATGAATAAATTGTATTTAGATATACAGAATAATAATGATGAAAATATTAAATAAAAAAAAAAAATAAGTTATTGTAAAACTAATATTTTTCACTGCTTCACTCAGAATATAAAAGTTCTACTTATGATCTACTGTTTACTTTAAGAAAAATAATTTATAATTAGAAAAACCATCGTGAACTTAGTTTTTGTTATTGATGAACAAAAAATCAAAACTTATAATTTATCCTTGGAGAATTCTTTAGGTTTTTTCTTTTTAGTGAATAGCTTACGAACAAACGTATATTCTTATTGCTTTGAAAATGTTTTCAACCAACAGTAGGTATATTTTCGAAGATAACGTCTATCTATTTAGGTCCAGAAAAATAATACAACCCTACTGTTCATTGATTTGTTCTCATTCTGACTAGAAAAGGAAAAAATCCGTTTTAATCTTTTAGGACAATAGACTTCAGTTACGGGACATTTGTCAGACGATGGGATTGTAATTACACACTATGCAGCCAACTCTGTAAGTCTTGCATTGTTTAGGATATCTTAGATTACCGTTATTCGTGATCTATAAGTTGTAGCTTATACTGTTCATTGTTGAATTCATCGACCCCACGATGTACACTAATATTAATACAGTGTAGTTACGTTGTTTTTTATGACTAACATATTCATTTCGATTTTGTATCTAATTCAAAGGATGTGAACTATAAACACACCTTACCCATGCATTTAGAATTTCACTAATAAGCATTAGAATATTATTTTTAAATTTTTCTTTGATATAGACTACAGTTATACTATTCTCTTTAAAAATATTTTACGGTTTTTCTAGATTTTTTAGTTATCTTTAAATTGTTTAGTCATAGCAATAGACAACACAAATAAACAAATAAAATATACTTTTAAATGTTTGCTTACTAATTTTGGCGAAAACCCAAATTAGAATTTATTATTGATTAAATGAAGATTTCATATTTTTAATAAGAATAGTGTATTGATTGTCAATTGTATAAAATAATATAGTATTTATCTATTATTTATATTACTGAATTAGTTAACCTATGGCATACCGTTTTATTGTTCACATAAAGTTTTGTTTTGTGTAACTTTTTTTAAAATTGAATATATTATAAACTAATTGTTTTATAATAATAACACGTCATACGAAGAAATATAATTCAAAATATATTTTACTCATTAGTAACCTCAATTTTAAACATAAAATATAAACTGACACGATATTACATTGCATATCCGGTAAGTGATCGACCATATCCGTATTTTTTTTTTTTATGTAGTTTGTTACTCTTTAAATGTTTTTCTATTCAACCAATTTGCTAAGTAAAGTTTATACTATAAAATTGATTCTAGTTAATTATATAGACAAAGTATTATAGTAAAATAGGTATTTAAATTTATGAAGCATTGATATAGTATTTCGTGAAAATTACCAAAAATTACACGGTTTATCATGGAAATAAATATTTTGAGAATAATATTATCACATATTAATTTATATTTATCTTAAAAAAAATAAAAGGTTAAAATGATCAAGTTTATAAAATATAATATATTAATTCAAAAAACTTTAAATTTAGAATGTCTATTTAACTTATCAAGATGAACACATGTGAAGTATTTTTTATAGTTTGTAACAAAGATTAATATTTTAATTTGTTTTTAAAAAATAAAGGAACTAGGCACTTTAATTTCCTGCAATGCCAATAAAATTATTAATAACTATTCTTAATTTATACAATATTTGAAAAATCATAAACATTTTTAATATTAAAAATGTTGAGAGCATTTAAAAATTTAATTATTGAAACACAATAATGTTTATACATTTTACGAATAAACACAACATTAATAATATTATTATTTACTTTTATAACATAAAAATTTTAATTTAAATGTTATTTGATACAAAAATAATGTAGTACTATAAATTAAAAGGGCTTTTATAAACATGTTGTTTTTTTAAAACACAATATGTGTAATGAATACTGGTCGGAATCGTCTTTTAAACATGATAATATTCAATTTCAAATTGAATTATGATAAAACACCTGCTGCCACTTGTATGGACCACTCGAAAGAATGGCATGCCTTAAATAGTTAAATCTACATACATTGCGTGTAAGCAATGTCTGCCTTTTCACATTTTTTCGATTATTCAAGTTCTTTAAATGGAAATAATTTTTCGTTTTCACATTAGAAGTATATTTTGTTGCAAATAATAGTAGAAATTGAACAAGGTTCAATAAAATACAAATTTAGTTTTCAGGTATTTAAAACACTTATGTAAATTTAATAATGTATGGGAAAAATATTTCTAGAAAATTTTTTTGTTTTCAAATTTCTAATAATTTTATTATTAATAAAATATGTTAAATAAGGTTAAAAGCAAATAAAACTATTCTAAAATTTTGAAAATGAAACCAAAATAAAATTGAAATCCTAAAATCTGTATTATATACACGTTGTATCTGGTTATATGGAACTATAAATTGATAATTGCATAT